ATCACCACTTACCTCGAAGGCCTATATAAATGGCTTCGACACCGCGGGTCCGTAGGAACGCCGCATCACGGCAACCCTACAGAGCAACAGCTAGCGGGAAGGGCCGGAACCCAAAACAAATAGAACAAACACAAACAAAAACCCATCAACAAGATGCCGACGAGACCGTATACGCCACCGCAGCTCTGGCCGCCCTACGTGCGGGAACGTCTCCGGCACGAGCGAATCCTGATCCCGTGGCCAGAAATCCCGCCCCGGCACTGGATCGAAGTCAAACTCGAGGCAATCGGGATCCCCTTGCCCCGGACGCTGTACGGCCAAGAAGCGGCGGCCCAGGACGCGGTGTCGTGGTGGACGGCGACCCTCCGCCGCGGTCGCCCGATTCGCATCCCCACCAGCTTTTCCGAACAGGCTAGCCATGTCATGATACTCTACATGTCGCGCTCGGACGACCGGTACGTGCCCGAACTCAAGGTGTACCGAGTTTGGCTCGAGGCTTTCAAGTCTTGCATGCGCGACGGCAAGCACGCGCCGAATCCTGAGACTTGGATTCTGACCGAGACCGACGGTGTGTTCGAGCTTGTCGGATCGCTTTGCGGATGGCAAAACTGGCAGTATGTGGTGAACAGTCCGTAGATATATCCAAATTTTACAGCTCTATATGTCTTGTAGAAATAGCGTTTGCGGCCAGGTAGTCCGTCCTCCTTCATGTATACTTACTAACCCAGGATAAGTTCCTATATAAAGGAGCGTTTTAATACACAACTCGTATTCACTCTGAAGTAATTCTGAACATTAAATCAACACAAGCGACCTGCGAAGCGTTACCACAATTGCGTTATGTACATCAACACATAGAAAAGCTCCACTTACCCCCAACCCCCCAAACAATCAAACCTCCACATCCCCACCAAACCCCACCGGCCTCCTCCCCTCCCTCCCCTCCACGCACGGCACTATGGCCAACGCCTTATACACCCTCCCCATCCCCACCGGCCCCCTATCCACCAACCTCTTCCACGCCCCCTCGATCCTCTCCCTCCTCGCCTCCGCCAGCCCCCTCACCAACGCCGCCACCCTCTCCCCCCCGCCCATGCCCTCCAGCCAAAACCCCTGCTCCACCGGCCCGTGCACCTCGACGCCCGCGCTCGCCCGCAGCGCCGCCTCCGCCAGCGCCACGAAGTCGACGTCGGCCGACAGGTCGACCGCGCCGGGGCGCGCCAGGGGCGACACGCGCGCGTGCGCCGCGACCCCGCGGAGCGAGCCGGCCGGGACGGTGGCCGGCGGCCCGTAGTCGAGGACGAGGGCGGCGCCGGACGGCCGGACGGGCGGCGGCGGCGGCGGCGACGTGGAGCAGGCCGGGCGGGCGGCGGAGGGGCCGGGCCCGCCGATGCGGACGGCTATCTCGGCGGCGTGGATGAGCGCGTCGGGGCTGATTTCGATGGTGGAGCCGGGGCGCGGCTTGAGCGCTTTGTACCGCGGGGACGTCTCTGGGAGGTATTGGCTGTGCGGCGTTGGGGTGGGGGAGAGGGCGAGCTGGAATTCGTCGGGGGGGCTGTCTCTTGGTCGGGCGGTGGCCGAGGATGTTGTCGCGGTTGTTGGTGATGGGGAGGGAGGCGTGACTGAGACGAGGAGCTCGCGCCACTGCGGGATGGCAGGCGCAGATTGCGGGGGCGGCGGAGGTGGTTCTGTGATAGTCGTTGTGATGTTCTTGCTTGGGGAGACCGGAGGTGGTGCCATCACGGACTGGAAAACGTGGATCGGGAGGGCATCGAAGAACTCGTGGGCAACTATGAACGGGGTCTTTGAGGGATCTAGAGATGCATGTTAGTCGGACGGTGCTTCGCCCCCTTTACGTTGGGTCTTGCAATGACGTACCCCGAGGAAGAAGTCGTATGTCTTCGCACCATACGATAGGGATACTGGGTGAGTATTTGCTCGTGCTGCGGTAGCCGATGTCAATTTCCTCCATGGGTGCGTCTTCGCCGCAGAGTAGGCGTTTCTGTGCCTGGCGCAATGCCGGGCTTGCTTCGATGAGGTAAACGGCTTCGATGGTGTGCGCGAATTGCTTGAAGTTGGAGATCGTCTGTCCGGCTTCTCTCATCAGCATATGCAGTTCCTAAGATCCTGTGCCGTACTCTCATCCAGGTGAGTGATCTCGTACCCGCAAGGCGTCGTCCATTAGCGTCCCTCGTCCTGGTCCAAACTCAATCATATGAACACCCTCATTCTGGCGGCCCTGAGCCATCCATTCCGCCACGAACCACACCCCCACCAGCTCCCCAAACACCTGCGATATCTCCGGCGACGTGATGAAGTCTCCCCGGGCGCCAAATTGGTCCCGACCTTCATTACGGGTCGTGTAGTATCCACCTTCGGGCGCGGTTAGGCATTGGCGCATGTACGACGCTACGGAGATGGGACCTGTAGTCTAGACATTTAGTTAGTGTTCAATTCAGCCCATAGAAAAGGATTAGAGAAGGAGAAAGTACCGCGATTGCCTCAGCGAGGCTCTTTGCCAGTGGTGTGGACCACTGTCGCGGGCTCGAGCTCGCCGTGGAGGACCAGCGTGCGCTGCGCAGCGGAGGGCGCCATCGCACGGGAGCATGTTGAAAGGCGCAAGCGGGATCAAGTAGCCTCGCGGCCGATTGCCTGGCTGCACGCATGAAGAGCCAATTTGCAAGCGCTCATTGCTTGAAAGCGTGTACACGAAGTGCAAGAAGCTCAAAGCGTCTGTCTGGCGGGAGCTTCCCCAGCGCTAGCGCGCGACGACAGACGAAGCGAAGGGCCCCCATCGTCATTCCTCGGAGGTCTTCTTCCAAAGCTCCGCAACCCACCAACGCGCGCGCGCGCTCTCGCTCCCGGCGAACAATTTACCCCCTCCCCCCAACACGCACACGCACACGCACACGCACACGCACATGCGACGATGAGCTCCCGCTGGGCGAACTCGGCCGCCGACGCGGCCGCCGACGCGGCGCGCAAGAAGGAAAAGGAAGAGAAGAAGCGCGCCAGGCTGGAGAAGCAGCGGCTGCTAGAGGCGCGCCAGCAACAGCGGCAAGGACACGGCGACTACGACGAGGCCCACGACGGCCGGCAGCCGCCGGCGAAGCGGCGAAGGCTATCCGACGCGTCCGCGACGCCGGAACCCGGGGCGGCGGCCGGCGCGGCGCCGACGAGGACGGACGGCGGCAGCGCCGGCGCGCCGCGCAAGCTGCTGCGGTTCGCGGCGCCGGGCTGGGCGCCGTGCCGGAGCGTGGACGGGTTCGAGAAGCTGAACGACATCGAGGAAGGGTCGTACGGGTGGGTGTCGCGGGCGCGGGAGGCGGCGACGGGGGAGGTGGTGGCGCTGAAGAAGCTCAAGATGGGGAGCGAGGCGGGCGGGGGCGCGGCCGAGGGGTTCCCGGTCACGGCGCTGCGCGAGATCCAGGCGCTGAAGGAGGCGAGGCACAGGCATGTGGTGGAGCTGAGGGAGGTGGTGGTGGGGAGCTCGTTGAATGAGTGAGTCTGGGAGCGTCCGGTTGGAGAGGGAAACCGCAGTTTCCGGAGGATGGAGCGCTGATTCGCACTTTCTGAGCAGCGTGTTTCTCGTTATGGAGTTCCTGGAGCACGACTTGCGGACGTTGCAGGAAGATATGGCGGAACCCTTCATGCCGTCGGAGATTAAGACGCTATTGCTGCAACTGGCCTCCGCCGTCGAGTTTCTGCACGATCACTGGATACTACATGTGCGTCGTCCTCCGAAAAGCAAAACGTCCGTCTCGAACAAGCTAACTTGAGTCACAGCGAGACCTCAAGACATCAAACGTACGTCTCGCATCCCTCAGAATCTCCACGAGCCCGACACATTTCTGACCTCCCTCCAGATCCTCATGAACAACCGGGGTGTCATCAAGCTCGCCGACTTCGGCATGGCCCGCTACACGTCGTCTCCCCCACCACCCAACCTCACCCAGCTCGTCGTCACGCTCTGGTACCGCGCGCCCGAGCTCCTCCTCGGCGCCACGACCTACGACGCCTCCATCGACATGTGGAGCGTGGGGTGCATCTTCGGCGAGCTCCTCACGCGGGAGCCGCTGCTGCAGGGCAAGAACGAGGTGTCGCAGCTGTCGGCCATCTTCGGGCTCAGCGGCGTGCCGACGGAGACGTCGTGGCCGACGTTCCGCCGGCTGCCGCACGCGCGGGCGCTGCGGCTGCCGGCGCGGCCGGCGCACCCCCGGCCGCCGGACGCGCGCGCCCTCGTCCGGGCCCGGTTCCCGGCGCTCTCCGCCGCCGGCGCCGCCCTGCTGGCCGCCCTGCTCAGCCTCGACCCGGCCGCCCGCCCCTCGGCCGCCGACGTGCGCGCCCACCCCTACTTCCGCGAGGACCCCCGCCCCAAGAGCGAGGCCATGTTTCCGACGTTCCCGTCCAAGGCCGGCCAGGAGAAGAGGCGGCGGCGGGAGACGCCCGAGGCGCCGAGGAGGGGCGCCGGGGCCGGCCTGGGCGGTTTGGGCGGCCTGGGCGGGAACGGGGCGGTGGATTTTAGTGGGATATTTGGGGGCGGGGCGGGGAGGGAAGACGGTGGGAAGGGGTGGGGCTTGAAGATGGTGTAGGGGGGAATGGAGAGGGAGAGGGAGAGGGAGAGGAGGGGTCCTACTGTAATGGAGGGAAAGGCTGCAGGCTCAAAGGTATTCTTCGTATGGAGGGGTGAGGTGGGCGAGAGGATAACTGGGCCACAGAGGCGGTGTGGCTGACACTTGTGGCGCGAGCTGAGGAGAGATGGGGGGGCCGTAGCTTCAGAACGTGTGGTGGGGCAAAGGCTTGTAGAGAAACGGCCGTATTATTAGGGCCATTGAATGGGCTCGGTGCTCAATTTCTGCTCGACTGTGGAGTGTCGGGCACGAGTGCATTGCGTGCAGGTTTTTAGGCCATTTGAGGGCGAGAGGAGCACATGGCGGAATTTTCCATGTCGCCAGAGTTGAGCTATATATGGCAAAATGCTTTTCAAGCTATCCAGTTATGCCCGCTTGGCTCAGCGGTAGAGCGCATCACTAGTACCCCTGCAATAGCAACGCTATGATGAGGTCGTCGGTTCGACTCCGTCAGTGGGCATTTCGTTTTGACTTTTTGCGTCGGGCTTTGTTTGCCTTTGATGCTTTTGTAGCTTCTGGCATTGGCATGCTGTTCTTTGTTTGGGACGTGTACGAGTTCTTTTTTCTTATTTTTGCTGGAGCGAATTGTGCAACTGCGGCCTTTATGTGGCTCGGGAGACGTTTCCATCGCTGATGTCCCGGTTAAGGCGGGCCATGGAGCATGATTGTTCCGCTGGCTGCATAGCCATGTGCAGGAATCCAGAGACAAGAGCCCTGGATCGCAGGCTCAATGGGCGATGCCCGCAGAGGACCCGGCGCGCTTTGTCTGCGGCGGCATTCCGGGCGCGGGCAAGTGGCCCAAGCTCCCGCAGCTGCCACAACAGGCCTTTCTTCGATCCCTCCATCGCACCTTCCGCCCTCTCTCCGCCGGCGCCAGTTCACCCGGCGCCGTCCGGCACGTGCCTTCGCGTCCTGCGCCGCCCTTGCGCTCTCGCGTTCTCTCGTTCCATCCGTCCTGCAAAACCCTATCCACTTGCTCCCCCCCCGAGCTGCAGCCATGGCCTCGCGCTCGCCCTCCCCGTCGCCCAGCCGCGGCCGCAGCCCTCGTCCTGCCCGTGGTCGTTCGCCGCCGGGCTATCATCACCGCCGCGGCGCGCCGTCACGCTCACCCACACGCTCACGTACGCGGTCACACTCGCGAGCACGCACGCCGGCGCGAGAGGGTTCGCTGTCACGGTCCCGTTCCCGCAGCACCATGTCGCACGCGCGGCCTTTCTCGCCGCGCCGCTCCATTTCACCGCGGTCGCCCATGTCGGAGGACCGCTCGCCGACGCCGCCGCCGAGGCGCAACGGCCGGGTCGGTCCCGGCCGCTACCGCCGCCGGAGCTACTCGCGGAGCTACAGCAGCAGGAGCTATTCGAGGACCAGGAGCCCGAGTCGGACGCCGCCGGCCAGGCGGGGCTACGGCGGGCGAGGCGGTGGGAGAGGCCGAGGGAGGAGGGAGAGAAGCATATCGTCCAGGAGCTGGAGTAGAGGGAGAGGAAGGAGTTTGAGTCCGAGCAGGAGCAGGTCCAGGTCCAGGTCCAGGAACAGGAGCTTAAGCAGAGAGACCGCGAGGGAGACGAGGAGCTCGAAAGTGGGTGCCTATCTCTTTCTTCCTGGCTATAAAAGTTGTTTTTGATGCTGACAGATTCTACCACGGTCCACAAGGTCGTCGTCGAGAAGCTCACCAAGAACGTCACCGAAGCCCACCTCCACGAAATCTTCGGTGTGTATGGCACAATCACCGACATCGAGATGCTCATGAACCGAACCTGTAAGTCTCGCACACCCTCGAAGCCCAGCCTTCCTTCCTCTCTCTCTCTCTCTCTGTCTCAAGATATTGCCGCGGGACGCAGACACTGACGATAGCACGCTCAGTCCACACCAACCGCGGCACAGCCTACATCCTCTACGCGACGGTCCCGGCCGCCGAATCTGCCATCGCCCACATGCACGAGGCCCAGATCGACGGCGCCACCATTCACGTCTCCATCGTGCTGCCCCGCCGCCGCTTCGACCGCTCTCCCCCGCGCGCCTGGGGTCCGCCGCCCCCGCCGTCCTCGCACCATCATCATCACCACCACCCGTCGCGTCCGCTGCCTCTCGGCGGGCCCGGCCCAGCGCCGCCCGGCCCCAGCCGTCGCTACGACGCCGCCGGCCCGCACTACGCCCTACCGCTCGAAGCCCACGACCGCTACCGCGGCGGCGGCGGCGGCCCCCCGCCCCCGGGCCCCAGCTACCGCGGCGGACCCCGCAACGGCGGCCCGCCCCCGCCTTTCCCCGGCGGGCCCCGCGGCTACCGCTCGTCGCCGCCTCCTCCTCCCGCCCCGCCGCCAGGCCCGCCCCCGCCGGGCCCGCCCCGCGGTCGCTACGGCCGCGCTCCCCACGCCGCCCGCCCGCCCGCCGGCTACGAGGACGCGTATTCGTACCGGCCGGCGCCGCGCTCGCCGCGGTCGCGCTCGCGGACTAGGTCGGCGAGTCCGGGCCCGGCGGGCTCTCGGCGGAACAGAGCGAGGGCGGGCGGCGGCGGTGGCGGGGGCGGCAGACTCGCCCGTGGGAGGTCCCGGGCCCGGTCGCGGTCCCCGAGCTTCGGCTCCAGCCGCGGGTCGGCGTCGCGGAGCCCGCCGCGCGCAGGCCGTGGCGCGGCGGGGAGCTATCGCGTTAGGGATTCGGTGTCGCCGGCGGTGGGGCTGGGGGGGAGGGGGGAGAGGAGGAGGAGGTCGCCGCCGGTGAGGGAGAGGGAGAGGGAGAGGGAGAGGGAGAGGAGGAGGAGGAGGGGCGCGGGGCCGAGGGGTAGGAGGAGCTTGAGTTATGGGAGCTATGGGAGTTGGAGCGGGCGGAGTGAGAGTAGGGGTAGGAGTCGGAGTGGGAGTCGGGCCAGGAGTTGGTCGAGGAGCCGGAGTAGGGAGAGGGAGAGGGGCGGTGGGGGTGGTGGTGGGGGTGGGGGTAGGAGGAGGTAAGGGGAGGAAGGGGTGGATGGGGGGTAATGAGGGGGGGGGAGGTGGGGAGTGGGTGTGGAGTTGTGCGATGCTTTTATTTTATTTTTTTTATTGCTGGTGTAGTGGATCCGTGTGACTAGTGAGGGCGGAGAGGGAGAGCTACTACGGTTGGTGGGAACGGCGAAGGCTTAGATGGGGTGTCATGGTCGGACATGGATGACGGAGGTCGATGGATGCGGAAACGCCGGGTGGAAGAAGCTGTAGTACTCATCCTGTTGTGTTTGTTTTGTTTCCGATTTATTTATTTATTTTTTTTTTTTTTTGTAGCTGGAGTGTTGTGTGTTGGCGGAAAGGAACTCGAGTAATCGGACACATGTGTACGATAGACGAAAAGTAATCGAGTTATTGATATCCTGTTCTAGAAAGCTTCAGAGGGACAAATCGGACAGTTTGTCAAACGTAGAGGGAAAGACAAGGAAATGGCCCTCACATTTGGATTTGCTTTGGTGGGGAGGGAGGGGGGGGGGTTGCATAGCTGTCAAATACTCGTACAAGAAAAAAGAACTTAGGGGTGGATGATGAATAGCTAGGCACAACACAATGTCCCCTCCATATTTTCGTCCCTTAAACTCGCGCATGCATGATACAAATTGACCCGTATTCTCAGACCCGGCAGATTTTCTTTCATCCGCTGCCCGTCTTGTAGTTGCCTTCCTAGATAAACGCCAAAAAATCCAATGCGCACGTCCGCCCATAGCTGATGCCAGCCATGCCGGTCGGCGCTGCCCGCCGGGCACACATGCACTTGAATCCGAAGCCCAACCAATCCATATATCTGTCCAACAGATAGATATGCAGACCCAAAAACGACAGTAACGATTTCGAAAATCCAACCCAGCTTGAATCCACACATCTTCCCACACATCGCCACAATCAAACCCCCCCATCCCCATCCCCATCCCCACCTTAACACTCCTCCTCACCCTCCACCCCCCAGTTCTCCCCCACCCACTCCGCAATCACAGCCGTCAAGCTCTTCCCGTCGGCCCAGGGCACCGCGTCCGCGGCCTCGACCTGGACGCCCAGGTACTTGAGCGCGAGCACCACGTAGCCCTCGATGAACTCGTTGTACACGACGTCGACGACGTCGGCATCGCCGGCCGCGGCGGGAGACGCCGGCCTCAGCACCGACTGCACGCAGTTGGGCACGCTGTAGAAGGTGATCTTCTCGTGCAGGGTGTCGTCGCCGTCGTCGCCGGCGTCGTCCTTGGTCGTGTACCCGGGCGTCAGCTTGAGCCGCGCGTCCGCGAGCGGTTCCTGTCCCCTCTCGGCGCGGCCGCCACGAGCCGCGGCGGCGCGACCTTCCACCCGGCTCTGCTGCTGCTGCTGCTCCTCCTCCTCCTCCTCATCCACTTCCGCCACCACTTCCGCCGCCACCTCCAACCTCCCACTCCCCTGCTCCGGCGGCGCCAACAACCTAGGATCCAGCCCCAGCGCCCTCGCCGGCCGGTCCAGCAGCGGCCCGCCATGGTTCAGCAGCGGGAGGACGCGCTCGGCCTTGTCCCTCGGGACGTCGGGGAGGGCGCGGAAGCCGCTGGTGAAGGGCGAGATGGCGAAGGCCGAGTCGCGGGTGAAGGCGCCCTTGAAGACGTCGAAGCGGAGCGCGCCCGAGTTGGTGATAGCGAGGGCGGTCCGGTTGGCCGCCGTGACGCGCCCGTCGGCCCCGAGCTGCGCCGGCAGCACCGCCTCCGCCAGCCAGCTGAGCAGGCTGTCGCGCGACGGGTACGGCGCCCGGTTGAGCCAGAAGTTGTGCGGCGCGCAGCCGCGCCGCGCGTCCAGGTGGAGGGCCGCCCGCGCGGATGCGATGCGCGCGGATACGTTGCGCCCGACGTCAGTCGGGAACGAGTGCGCGTCCGTGCCGCTGTGGTGGTACAGCGAGAAGAGGTTGTTGTCGATGTAGCGGCGGTTGAAGGAGAGGCCCGCGCGGCGCAGCGTGGCGACGTTGCGGAGCTCGCGGTGGTGGTGGTCTACGTCGTCGTCGTGGGAGGAAGACATCTTCTTACCGCCGCGGTTCAGGCCATCGACAGAGGCGAAGCCGATGGTCTCCATGTACCGTCCGCTCTCGAGCCCGACCGCCTTGTTGTCCCAGATGCGGTAGTCGCGGATGTGTGTGTGGCCGCCAAAGAAGTGTATGGGCGTGTCCCACTGCTGCGACCTAATCGTCTTGTACAGCAGCTGGAATTCCTGGGTCCGAAGGCCTACATGCCCGATGATGACAAAGAGGTCCACATCCCGGTCGCGGATCGCCGTTTGGAACCAGTCTTCCTTGATTGCGTCCTTCACCTTCTGCACCACCGTGTTGTTCGCGTTGCCCGTGAAGTCGTACAGGAAGCCCATGGCCAGCACGCGGATACCCTGGTTCGGCGTCGTGAACTTCTTGTAGCGCTGCGCCAGCGGCTCCATGACGCCTGTGTCCGGGTTGTAGATGTCTAGATTGGACGCTATGTAGCTGCCGTTGAAGGCGGGAACCGTCACATTC